AATATAGCATATATAGCATATATATATTCAATATATATACTAAAGTTAGCTGCATCTTTTCCTCCAGCATTGTAGCTCTTGCTGGAGTTTCCTTGTCATCCTTGTATCTGCCACATGAAAAGAATTCAATATTATTTGTCAAACTAAAATTTCCTTCTTCCCCCAACTTTCTAAGACATCCATAATAGTTTTCCACATTTATGTAATAACACTACAGGGACTTTTGGGGTAACAGGATATGTAAAATTAAGAACCTACACAGTAGAATGATGTTGACTTAACAAGACCAGGGCACTTTTCAAACTCTAAATTAAGAGGTTATGTTTGAGTTTTTATTACATCACACTTCACTTATATATAAATCATGTTCCTCAAGGGTGTAGGCATATTGATAGCAAAAAAAAAAAAATTAAAGGAAGACAGGCCACACATCAAGCACAGACATTAAAATATTGACCTCAAGCTGAATTCCAAAAGTGTTGTTATTTGCTGAATACTTGGAACTTCCCAGTGAAAATGATACAGTGTATTCTGCCCAGATTGCAACTTTCCTTACTAAGCATTTGTAATGATTCTTGGCCCTAAATATCACTAACTTCAGACTGAATGTGATTGTGTACCAGAAAGTCTTAGCAAGTGAGATTTTTACTTTCTTTGAATGTTCCAGTAGGACAGTACAGAACTGATTCAATAAAACCTTGCAACGTCTAAGGTATAACTTGAAAAAAAAAATCAAATTACTTTTTGGAAAATATTAGCCTTGAACGCAAATAGAAGTTTTGAAAGGGCTGCCACTTACATTCCCACCTCTGTTATTTTTTCCCATCACTCCGAGGTATACTGAAATCCATGCTGAGCGCCTGCAGCACTGGGCTGCAGCTGTTCCCCTGAGAGACAATGATGCACATGAAAAATCCATCAGGTGATACTAAGTAGAGGTTGGACTCCAAGGACCACCTTGACTTCGCCTTAGATAAGCAGGCTCACAAGCTTTAAATAATAAGGGTAACGAGATCGATGCGGGCAGGGGGAGTATTACTGATTGCCTTGAGGAGGAGGAATGAAAAAATGGAAAAAATCAACTCCCAACTATAGGTTCTCTCCCCTCCAGGCATCCCCCATTGCTGGGTTTTTTCCACCTTCTTGGCCCTCCTGCCCTCTCACTTCCCTTTACTCCGTACCTGCTGAGCTAACATGGGATTGCCACCCACCGATTTCTAGTTATTTGGGGAGCTAGAAGGAACAGCAAAGATTCGTCAAACACCTTCCATTTTCCAGATGAGGACACCGAGCTGACCTGACTGGCTAAGGTCGCACCGCTAGGGGACGCGGTGCGCGGGCGGGCTCAGATTAGACAACCCAGGTTCCGCCTGCTCCTCAGGCGGTACCGTACTGCCTCACTCTACCTCCTCCTCTTGCTACTTGGCGTCTTTATCCTCAAATTAAATGGCATCAAGAAAAATACATCCTTAATATACTTAAAACGCTGATCATTATTCATAGTTTTGCATTTGGGGCAATTATGCTCACTCCTACCCGGACTTGGAGAATCGAGGGCAGAAATAAGGAGGTGGTATTACATCCGTGTGTGCATGCGTTTTAACGCAATGTGTTTGGATCAAACAGCCATAACTCTAATATACACCCTTTTTCCTGGGGACTCACTCTGTTATCTGACGAGAGAAGAACTTCTTACAAGAATTTGGAATTTTCCGAGTACAGACTCTCCCTTTAACCAGAATGGCAGACTTTAAATCTCAGATCTCTGGCTTCACAGTTATGCTTACGCTTAGCAAATGACACTTATGCAAATAGGTGAAAAACAGACTGTTAGAGCCCTAAGCGATAGAGGACTCTGCTCTAATAACTAGTTACGTTTTCGATATTTACGTTTACATATATGTATCTATTCCAATGGGAAACAACGCATTCATAGTGAAACACGACAGCGCCCGCATTTATGATATATCCATGGATTTCAACAAAAAGTAAAATAAAGAGCAGCGGCGGAGAGCAACAATCTCAGGCCCCAGACAGAAGGCAGCAACAAGTCCTGAATGCCTACACTCTTAACATATCAAAGGCCAAATGGCAGCAACGAAAAACAAGATTAAACTTCAAATCCATTCACAACAAATGAGTCCTACACAAGCCAAAGGAGCCTGTCGATTTCAAAACCGTCGACTCAAAACCAGGTCCCTCCCTTGCCTTACAATCCCCAGTTACTTGCTAAGCATGTTTGTTAGGCGGCTGGACAGAAACTTAAGTGAAAAGTCCTCAGCCCGGGAGGGACGACCGAGTCGACTGTGGGAAGCAAGGGGTGCGGGAGTCCGCGCCTTCAGCAGCTCTGCGCCGCGGGGTGCGGGGACCTCCCCCCAGCCGTCCACGTCCACCGGAACGAGGCTCTGGGCGAACCTCGAGGGCCCCTCGCAAGCCTTCCCGTGCCCCCACCCCGACCCAGGTAACCGGAGGCCACCTACGTGTCACTTGGGCGGGTCTCGGCCGCAGACACTGCGCACAGCGCGGGCCCGAGGGCGCACTGACCTGGCCGAGGGACAGGAGAGCCGGCGGCCCGGGCGGCTGCGGCCACTTCCCTCCCGGGGCTCGGTCAACCGGCTGGTAAAGGAGGCCCGGAGAGCCTCGCCTCCCGCAGGCCGGCTCGCGTGTACGCACACCCACCCACACCCGGCACGGGCGAGCGCGCGCGCAGTCACACTCACACTCGCGCACGCACAGCCACAAAGCCCGTCTGCGGCGGGACAGTGTGAGCCGAGCGCGCCGTTTGGCGGCTGAGCGGTCGCCGCGGCCACTGGCTCCGCGCCCAGGGGGCGCCGTCCCCCGGCCCGGCGCCGAGTCCTCCTCTTTACCTGCGCTCGCCGCCGCCGCGCGTCCCGCTCCCGCCGCCCCCGGGCTGGCTTCAGGCCGCGCGGCCAGTCCCGGCGGCCCCCGCCCCGCCGCCAGCCGAGCCCGGCCCTCCGCCCGCCCCTCGGCAGTCGCCCAGAGCGGGCCGCCCCCAGCGCCCACCCCGCTGGGGGCCCGTGCGCAGCCGGGAGGCCCGGGAGGGCTCTGCAGCGCCGGGCCCAGGCCGCCCAAGATCCGGGCAGCGCTCTGCACCGGGACGCAGGAGTCGCAACTCCGGGAGTGTCAGCGCCGCTCGGCCCCTACGGCCCCGGCTTTGGCGCGCTGGCAGGGGCGGCGGAGGAGGGGGCGCCGAGGGAGGGCCGAAGCAGCAGCGCCCACGCCAGCCTCTCTTCCTCCGCCCCCTTTCTTTTCTGCTTGCTCCACGTAGCAACTCCCGCACCCCTGCACTCCCTCCCCCTAGCTCGTCCCCTTACCTGGTGTGACGCCCCCCGCGCCCCTGCCCTCTGCGCTCCCCTCCCCCATTCATCTGCTGAACTTCCCGCTGGCGCGGGGGGTCACCTAAGCCTCCCATTCATTACCTGACCAACCTCCCCCGCCCCACACGCGACACACCGCGGCGGGAGACCCGCTGCCGCCAGCTCGGGATCCCACCCCACGCCCTCCTGTGCTCACCCCAGCGCCGGACAGCTTACGGGACTCCGGTGGGCTCCCCTGCACGTTGCATTTTCATTTTGTCCCTCTCCTCTTCCCACTTGGAGAGCTCTGGGAAACATTGCGGAGCCCGCAAATCCCCTGAAGTATGGCCTGCCTCTCTCGTAGTTCAGTTTCTAAACTTTCCTGAAGGAGCAAAATTTCTCTCAGCGCCGCCCCTAACTGGAGGCTGCGAAGGACGGAGAGTTGACTCTGCTGCTAGAAAGGTGTGTCGGTTTCTCTCTGATTTTTCCATTGACTGGATCTGCAGACCAAAGCAAGTGTGACTCTGCTCCCCTAGTTCTCCATATCCGTGATTATAAATGGCTCTTCCGCTTTCCCAGTGTAACTTTGCAAGTGCAAACTATCAATTTTAGTAGGAGTAATTAAGGGCGGGGACTGTGCACCTGGAGGTGTGGGCGGGAGCGGCGCGGGACCGAGGCCTAGGGATGGTTCTCTAGAGAGCGGCAGCCACAGGGATTCGCCCAGGTCCTATAACGACATGCACCCCATGGGGCTCTCCAGCCACGCCACCGCACCCATCCACCTCCCACCCTGACTTCTCCACCGCTAAGGCCACTCAATACAAAAAAAAACTACCTGCAAGGAAAAAAAACCTGAGCGACCCCCCCAAAGAAAACCCACCAAAGAAGGAAAGAAAGAAGAAGGTAAGGGGATGCGGCAGGACTGATAGGACTACGTCGAAGAGAGAAATTCAGGACAGCGAGGGAGGGCTGCGTTGGTGGTGGTCACCCGGTAATCTCGGGCTTTGCAGAAGGGAAAGGTCATTGTAAACCGCAGTGGGCGGGGAGGGGAAGACTTCTTGACAGGGGATGGAAACTTTTCAAGTCTCTAGTGAGTTATGCTTTGAAGGGACCAGGACCGTCTCCCGCCAGTGACTACTTAGAGCCCTGACCAAGCTCATGTGGTTTTCACAGGATGCTCAAGGCTGAGCGCTGCTAGTCATTTATTAATCAAAGCTGTTTCCTTTTAAAAACAATCATTCAAATCCCTTTTAACATCAACTTTAAACGACTCTGCTTTCTTTCCTTTCCCACCAATATGATTTAAAACGTGAAAAAAAATGAGTGTTAACATATGCACAGTGCCAATATGTTCATGCACAAGGCCAGTATGTTCACGTACAGCATGCAGAAATGCATGTAAATACATATACATATAAAATCACTGTCATCTCACAAATAATGATAGGGGTTGATCTTAAACTGTAAGAAATATTATACTGGAATGAATAGGAAAATGTCCACTACAAAAACTAAGTATCATAAAAAGTGTGGATTGGTAAGAAAAGAATATAGTTGAAAGGTGCTTGTATATATTTTTAACCATAGCTATACTCAATTCAGAAAAAAAATCACTTATTAACTAATTTTCCTGTCTCCCTCTTACTACACATTCTTACTGTTAAGTTTCTCAATATCAATACTTCTTTAACAAAAAGCACATTTTAAAATTAATTATTTCCATAACCTCTCCCCATAAATCAAAGGTAAAATACAAATGAGTTTCTCACCTACCATCCAGCTGGAATATTTTTCATATATCGATTTTGTTTCTGACCTTCTTAAGGAATACAGTTGCTTCTGCTTCAGCTACATATTAACTACCTTAACTACTCTGTGGTCCCTTCTAACATCAAATGGGAAGGTCTATCCATACAAGACATGTGTATTCAAGAGTAAGTTATTTGCTGTAAAACCCTATTTCCTCTTTATCTGGTGTACTGCTGTCCTAAAATGAAATGGAGAACAAAATAAAAGGTCTGTTCAAACAGACCTGTCTTCCTGACAAGTGTGGACCTGTCTGAACGAGACTGCTTCTGCAGCCACCTTTAGACCAGTAACTTTAAACTCAAATGTAGGTTGTATGTCCAGTGTAAAAGGAGAGAGAAAATGAAATGCAATACAGAATCCAGTTTAGCATATAGATTAATGCATCAAAACTAGTAGTGTGTTTCAAATGAGCTAGTTTTATCATCTGTAAAATGGAATAATAATAATACTAGTGCAGTTTCTTGTATAGGGTTCCAAGTTGTCTTTATCAAAGTAAAACAATATATTGGAATGGACTTCTTAAAACACTAGGGGTGATCATGTTGTTTTAGTGGAAGTGAGGGAGGACACCTTGATAAACTTTCTTGAATGTTTTCATCTATCTGTAGTCCTCTTGTCATTCAGACTTAGTCCCTTTCTTGGAGAGTCGTCCTAGTGCTTTCTGATATACCCTTTCTCTCTTATCCTCGGCCAGGCAGTGTTTCTCTAAATTTGTTTCTTAAAATGACTTCAGCAGTGCCAAAGACCCAAAGACAGCTCATGCTGTCAAACATGACAAAAATATTCTCAGCAAAATGAAATTTTGATGAGGGATATTTCAAGTGGAGTTTTTACGCTAATATGTTGAAGGACACAATAGACTTTGTCAGATTATTGATGTTATCTAGTGATCCAAGGACTATAATTTGAGACTCATTAAGAATTTAAAAATTGGCTGTCACTGCATTTGGCACTATTATTTTTTTTTTT